GCTGGGGATTTTCTACTATGATGCTTGTCTCCATCTCTTGTTACTGTAAACTTCAAGTCTTTTCGGCAGGGAGAAAGGATTCAGGTTAGGATGGGGTCGGTGATGTCGCAGATCATCCACATCTTGCCGTCGCGGGGCAGCGGGGCTTGGCCGGTGAAGATGTGGGAGGGGGCTGCGGGGGTGGTTTCGGCGGCGGGGACGGCGGAGGAGAGGAGCGGGCGGGTCTGGCGTCTGTTCGATATCGATGTTGTTATTGTCGTCGTTTGGTTCGCAGGTGCGGGGGCAGTGTTATTGTTATTGTTATTGTCGTTGCCATTGCCATTGCCGTTGCCGTTGCTGTTGTCGTTATCGAGTTGCTCGGTGATGCTGGATGGGAGCGTGCGGAACATGAATGTCTGATAGACGCAGGAGGAGGGGTCGAGGCGCGGGTCGTGGCCGAATTTCACAATCGCGTCACGCCACGGCCCCGAGCGGAAGATGTATCCGACGTACGGCACGGCGAGGCGGAGGGCGTATTTCTGCTCGTTGGTGGCGAGGTGGTTTCGTAGGCCGCGGCGGGTCCAGGCCACGCGGGTTTCGAAGAGGGATTGGAGGATCGAGATTGTTTCCTGCAGCGTTTGGTCGAGGGTGTGGATTGGCGGGCAGTTTTCGCTGGGGCCGGTGGGGACCGAAGGCACGTCGCAGGCTACGAGGTGCGTGAGGACTTTCACGATTTGCTGCGTGTTGGTGGTTGTTATTTCGCCCGATGGGCCGATTGATTGCTTGACGGTGGGGTTTTGGCGGTAGCTGTGTTGGACATGTTAGATTTGTAGGTGATTTGGGAAGAAAGAAAAATACAGGGAAAACCATACAGGTAGCTGAAGGGGACGTCTCCACGGCTTAGGGCGGGAGGCGGGATGATGTCAACGTTTGTGGTACAGCCTTTGGTCATATCAAATTGAAACTCTTTGAGTTTGTCGTCTGTATAGGAGGTTTAGCACAGACGTGAGAAGCCGGGAGGATAATGATAGACCTTTCAGGAGAAAGATGCAGTAGCACATACATCGGAACGGTAAGACCTTCTCCCTGAATTTCGTCATAAACGGGCTGGAGGCTGTTGAGTAGACGAAATCCGGCATGCCTGGGTATTAACATCAGCGTTGTAAACACGGCACTTTTTGATGCATATGGATATATTATACTAGGCCATAAGTATTGGCAACCCCTACTACAGTTCTGCAACAAAAGAGGCACCGTGATTGTAATGGAGGTTGCCAATGCTTATGGCCTGGCGCTGTTGATGGATGTTCTGTTTGCGCGTGCAAGAACATACCACGAAAGACATGCATCCGCTCGATGCGACCAACTGCTTCGACCTCGTATTTTCCCACGCTATCCTGGAGTCGCCGTAGCAAGGCCCGCGCGGATAGAGCACGGGAGGGTAGTGGAGGGTTGGAAGAAATAGACCCACAGTCTCCTTCAGCAGCATCATGGTCGGTGCTGGTAAAGGGCTCATTCGAACCACGTTTGCGCTTGCGACCAGTCCTCTTGGGGACAGTAATCTTCAACAAGATGTTGTTTGCTGGGTTACACGTGGAGGACAAAGGCCTGCTCATGCCATCCTCAGGGCATAGAAATAAGTTGATTGATGCATCTTGGCGAGGGGGTTTCAGAAGCTATATAATAATACATATATATATGTATATATCTCATGTCAATATTATGTTCGTATCGGCAGGACGAAGGGATGCTCTGAGGTTTTGCTTGCCCTTGAAATGCCGCCGTTCCCGTCGAGGGTTTGAATTCCTTTATCTATGTTCTGCACCACGCATGGATGTTCAACGGTAACGATCTCGCGCGCTGGAATCGAGTACCAAGGAGCTGTGCGATCACGGGCACGATCTGGTTGGGACATTGTTGAGGTCCCATCGAGGGTGAGTGGAGACTCTCTCTTTAGAGGGGAGGGTTGCCAATCGAGTAATATATAATTTCGTACGAGCTCAAGAGGATAACCAGATATATATGTGCTACATATGTATCTATATATCTACATATCTAGATAGATAACAGAGATCGATAGATTTGTTTCCGTCATTGCTCTGGTGGTAACACTGCCGCTAAATGAACTATCCTATAAAAGGAATAGCGTCTTGGCAAGTTTTACATGGTAATATTGAAGTCTAACTCTGCAAGTCACACATTCATTACAAGTTAATCTTTATATTCTTTTTTGATGAAAAGGATAGCGGTTTCGAACCCTGGGCTATGTGTCAGACTATACGACATTCCGCTGCCAGACAATGAAGCGCTCAGAGAATGCTCAAGAGCTGGAAGATGGCCGAGTTCATCCGCCACGTGACGTGCCCCTCCTAGCCGGATCAGGCAACCCGCGCCAAGCCCACCGCGACCCGCAAGCAGGGTAAGTTACCTGTTACGGAGGCGGCTCCAATGGGCGGCAGCTGGCCAACCGCGCTACTCGACTTTCCCGCCCGACAAACGACGACGACGACAACCACAACCACAACCACAACCACAACGACAACCACATCCACAACCAACAACCACAACCACCGCTGACCGACCGGCTGCATCGACAACTCCAACCACATCCCTATCCATGTCCTGTCCTGTCTCTGCCACTCCCGCTACCATTCTTCTAGTCCTCTCCCCGCCTCTCCTCGGCCATCGTCTCTCCTCTGGTTCTTCCATTTTCTCCCCACCCATGCCTCGTCGCGCTTGATTCGACCCCCCCTCCTCTCCGAACCACGACCTGCCTGGGATTGTCCCCCGCCGTGCTACCGCCCCCTGAAGTCGCTTGTACTCCTTTCTGTTGCTTGCCACCCCGGTCGGTTTCCCCAGGCCACAATATCGAACCCAACTACCTCTCCTTTTGTTCTGGACCTTGGGAATTCCAATAGTCTGGGTTTGGTTGTTGAGGTATGTTACATGACTCGACTGGGTAATTCCTGGGGGGTTTTGGCTCGATAATCCCCAATCCTTTCTCACACAATTCCTCTCTTCCTTAACGTTCGCTGCCCTGTGTCATTTGCTCGTCAGAGTGTCCTGTGCAAACGTGCAACTCTGCCAAAATGCCCACTGTCGAGTCAAAGAATTGCTTTTTTTTCTTTTCCCATCACCCGCTCTCCATCCCCCTCTCTCGTTTCTTCTCTCCCTTTTCCTCTTGCTTGCTTGGAAAGAACTCCAACTCGACATACCCTGGCCTCCTTTTGTTTTTTTCATTTTTTCTTCAGATATGGCTCTTTCTTCACCTCGACTTCACGGCGATTGGCCCCCTTGCTCCGGTTTAACCCAACCTCAGTTAAATTAAGAGCCCTCTCCCCTCTCTCTTTCCTCGTTAAATCCGCGTCAGAGAGGGTGCTCATTCGCATGTCGTCCACTTAACAGATAAAATATACCGCTCGCACCGTCTATTCCGTTTCCCCTCGATATTTACCCAGCTACTGGTCACGACCAATCCGCTTGCTGTCGGATAATCGTGGTCGACTGGCTGAACATTGGCGGGTATTGTACATGTAGCCGCCGCACCGATATAAGCTACCATGAAGGGTTTCAGACAGAGAGTTGTAAGGCTCCACCACACTCCCCTCGTTTGGATGTTTCATTGCTTTTGGGGATGTACATGATGTCTTGGTTCCGGTTTGTTTCTGTCGCTGGATGAACTTGGCATTGACTGACCGCTTTAGCACGAACAGCTGTCCCGTGCGAAAGATTCAAACAAGTCTTCTAAGAAGAAGGACTCTTCCGGAACATCCTCCCCAAGCCAGAACACAACCTCAACTTCGTCAGGCCCTACCCCTTCCCCGGCCAACTCCAACCATGGCACTCCTACATCCTCGACTACCACTGTGAATGATACCAAAGGCAGGCCTGGAATGCAAGGTGGTAATGGTGGTGGGATTCCGGTTGGTGTTATGCATAATAATGCCCAGGCTCAGCTAAGTGCCCCCCAAAGTGCCCAGCATTTTATGCCTCCGGGACAAAACATGGGGGGACACACGGGTCAGTTGTCTGGCAATGGACCGGGAACACCAATTCGACAACCGCAGTCGCTTGCTCCAAGTGTAATAATTAGCCCCAGCGCACCGGTATGTTTTTCCACTGTCTCACAATCCTTTTTATCCCGTGGGGGGGAGATTGCGTTTATAGTATAGAGAATTTTCTTATTATGTTATGTGGATGACATGACTGCTGATGAACCACAAAACAAAATTAGCACATTCCTCCTCCGGGCTCTGCGGAGACCATGCCTGGAGATCTTCAGCCACCAAAGGCCGGCCAAAAGTCACACCTTTTTGACCGATTACAAACAACGCCCAAGGATGTTCCTGAGGGTATCAGGACACCAAAACGGCAACACTCCTCGAGGTTCGACATATCTGATCAGCGCCAAAGAGAACTTGAGAAGCTTCCTGGCTTTCATGAGGTCCCCCCGAACCGGCGCCAGGATTTGTTCATGCAAAAGATTGACCAGTGTAATATCATTTTCGACTTTAACGATCCGACTGGCGATATGAAATCCAAAGAGATCAAGCGACTTGCCCTACATGAATTATTAGACTATGTGGCAAACAACAGATCCGTCATTACTGACCCCATGTATCCCCGTGTGGTGGACATGTTCGCCAAAAACCTTTTCCGCCCTATTCCCCCTCCCGTAAACCCCCAAGGAGACGCGTTCGACCCAGAAGAGGATGAACCCGTTCTTGAAGTCGCATGGCCGCATATTCAGGTTGTTTATGAATTTTTTCTTCGGTTCATCGAGAGCCAAGATTTCAATACCAATATAGCAAAAGCGTACATCGATCATCAGTTTGTTTTACAAGTATGTTGAGTTGTGGGGTAGTCTCGGAGCGCTTTCTAGATGTTACAAGTACTGACCTATATGGAAGCTACTGGAACTCTTCGATTCCGAAGACCCTCGCGAACGAGACTTCCTCAAAACAACCCTTCATCGCATCTACGGCAAATTCCTCAATCTACGTTCTTACATTCGACGGTCGATCAACAACGTTTTCTTCCAGTTCATGTACGAGACCGAACGCTTCAATGGAGTAGCAGAGCTGCTCGAGATTCTTGGATCTATTATTAATGGCTTCGCCCTCCCGCTTAAGGAGGAGCACAAGCTCTTCTTGACGCGTGTTTTGATTCCCCTCCATAAAGTAAAGAGTCTGAGCATGTATCACCCCCAACTGGCCTATTGCATTGTTCAGTTCCTTGAAAAGGACTCTGCGCTCACTGAAGAGGTAGTTTTTTAATTTACTTGTCCTTCCCTTTATTCCTGTTTCTTGTTTTAGCAAAGTTGACTCGTTCGTTTTTTCTAGGTTGTCCTTGGGCTTCTCCGCTACTGGCCAAAAGTAAATAGCACGAAAGAGGTCATGTTTTTGAATGAAGTCGAAGATATATTTGAAGTCATGGACCCCGCAGAATTTGCCAAGGTCCAGGAGCCGCTTTTCAATCAACTGGCGAAATCGGTCGCTAGTCCCCATTTTCAGGTTTGTCACCCTCCCAAAATATATCTGGCCGAGTCATTTCTTTATTATTAAACATATCTTCCTCCAGGTTGCTGAACGGGCCCTATATTTTTGGAACAATGAGTACTTCTGCAATCTAGTCACGGATAACGTAGAGACTATCCTCCCTATTATGTTTGCTCCACTTTACGAAAATTCAAAAGGCCATTGGAACAGGTGAGATCTCTACCCACGAAGTTGAGAATGCGATAACCATCTTTACTTTTCTCACACCCTCCCGACAGGACCATCCACAGCATGGTATACAATGCGATGAAACTCTTCATGGAGATCAATCCACAACTATTCGACGATTGCTCCCACGACTACACAGAATTACAATCAACAGCAGAAGCGCGTGAGAAGGATAGACAGAGCAAATGGGACAGACTGCAAAAACTAGCCCAATCTCGAAAGAGCTTGACAGGTACGGGTACAGCAACGGAGCCATCTTCACTATCACTCAATGCTACTAATGCTGCGCCCTCTACATCATCTCCACCACCATCATCTGACGGACGACCAAGCCCATCTCGTAATACGGATGATATAGACAAGGCAACCCATGATAGCCAACAACGGCTTAACGCGCTGAAACTGCAGGATGAATCGAATGTTAGCAAGGAGCGGCGGTTGCGGGAGCGGGATGGGCAAAACCTGAATTCGGTTAGTGCTTCATAAGATTTTACAAGGGAAATAAGTGAGTTAAAGGGAGCAAGAACAGTGAATATAGAAACAAGATGAAGGGGGAGAAAAGAAAGAAAAAGATCCCTTGTATCTGCAGCGAGCCATTTCATGCATATCATGCACCTTTTCCACTTGTTACTTGTCAATTTTCCTTTCTCCATTTCCGCCATTTCAACTCTATTGTCAATTCTTCCAATTTTTTCCCTTCTCATGCCAAAATGGCTGTATCCAAAAATGATCATATATATATTCTCATTTATTTCCTCTCTGCCTTTGTCTTTGTCCTTGCCTTGCACCGTAGCCAGAGCGTTTTTTTTTTTGTGCTATTTTGAGTGCCCGTGGAGGTGCATGTGAATAACATATTTCTAACATTTACACCGCGGTTTATTACCTCCGCTTATTTGATTCCAGCAGAGGCGCCGTCACGGATCATTCGATGACACTCGCTCACGCAGGGCAGGATCGGGATATGGGATTGGTGGTGAACATACCTCGAATGCTAATGCTGCAACAACTAGTGGTAGTAGCGGTGGTAGGAAGCGTGGGGAGCGGCGGGGTTCTCTTGGGAGTAATAATGCTACTAATAATAATCATAATAGCAGCGGCAGTGGTGGGGGAGGGGGAGGGTTCGTATCATCGACATCAGCGCCTATGCCTACGTTGGCCCGGAGCAATTCGATGAAGTAAAAGAGGAGTGGACGGTCGGACGGATTGATTATTGACTGATTTATTGTGATTGTTGATGGATTGTCGATCCCAGATCTGCTGGTTGGGTTCTTTTTGTCTTCTCTTACTTCCGGGGATGATATACTCCGTTTCTTCACGTCGCTGCCTTCGCTGACTGTCCCTTTTATGATTGTTCACCTTTTATTATATATTTCTTCCTCCTCTTTTGTTATTCTGCTGTTTCTTCTTCTTCTTTCCCTTCTTTACCCCTTTGCCTTTTTTCTTCCTCTCTGTTCCGGGTGGCACAACCTGAACCGCTCCTCTTTTTTCACAAACTTCGCACAGCTCTGTCCCAAATTTGATGAATGGAAGGCATAGCGATTAGCGTGTTGCGATGATGCGTTTTCTTATTTCATTTCTCGTATTTTACATATCTTCTAAATTCTCAAAAAATCTTGATCTTACTACACCTACAAACACATTTCAAAATGTCGTTTGTTTCCATTTTTGTTTCATTACATTTCCGCCCTTTCCACCCGTCCTCTGCCCGTCCCCTTCCTACACCTAGCAATTCATTCACGGGGATTGATTTTTTTTGGATCGGTCATTGCCCGAGTGCTCGGGTACATAACACGAGTTTTATATTGCCTCAACTCATTATTCGGTTTCATGCTTCTCTTCCATTGCCCGTTTTGTTACTTCATGCGTAGTGGAACGCTTTTTTTAATAAAGTTTTCTCCTTTATGCCTATTCCTCCCCCCCTTGATTTTTTCATATATATATTGCTCCTTTTGCAATTTGGCATTCGTTTTAGAACTGTGTTATGCTATTATCCGGTTTGTTAAGGGGAAATAAAAGAAGTACTATAACTGGTTTCGGCGGATGCCGGCGTTTCCTCGTTTTTCTTATTCTCTTTTGTCCCGTGGTCTATGATGCCTATGGGACTAAAATTGGTGTCCCTTTATTCCACCTTTATCGATATGTTTTTGTTCCAATATCTCCTGCGGCTATCCCGTGTTTGACCGCTTTATTCCTTTTGTGCTCGCTTCCCTTTTTTTGTCCTTCTTCCTCTTTCAAATAGCTCTGAAATCTATGCCCAAAAGGATTTTGTAAATGACATGAATTTACAATAACGAATGTGAAGATCCTCTGGATATGAACCAAGGGCCACGCGTGTCTCGCGCGGGTATTGACTTTAGGTCTCTAGACAAGCATCTGACTAAGCATGACTAGGCGAGCAAATAGCCGCGGGAATACATTTATCCAGACGCGCTAAACGCTGTAACTAGTCCTATATTGGCCTAGTGAATTGTACGGGGTCTACGCCCTTTCCCCAGCTCTAATTCAATCTATCGCTCCTCTGTCCCTTTGCGCCCGCAATCTCCGCTCTTCACCCTCCGACCTCTGCCTCCGCTTCCACGGCCTCCCACCATTACGACTCATGATTCTTCTCTGAATTCTTCGATTAATATACTAATTATCCAACCCATTGGCCAAAATATGTTTTTGTGAAATTGCGCCAATTTTTTCTGCGCGCGTTCGTACCTTTTCCATTCGCGTGGTGAGCCCCCGAAAAGCTGCCGGAACAAGCCCAGAGGGTCACACCAAGTTACAATTCCCGTTATCCCTCCGAATGAATCTTGGTAGAGCGCTGGGGTGAAAATATCTCGTACTAGGCCCCGCTGGAGGGGCCTAGCGTTTCTGATCCTTCTCGCTTGCTTCAATTCCAGGTGTAAATCCTCTCTGTGCAGAGAGAAGCAAGACCAAACGGTTACATACTACAATGGCCAACTCTCCCAGTATGGCTACGGCTATGGGGCGGAATATTGATGTCTATGCGACTCGGTTGGCGGATGTGACTATTGGTAAGGGGGAATTTCTTTTCTTTCGATCTTCTTATCTTTTGCCCTGCTTCTTTTTTTCTTTTTCTTTTTTTTTTGGGGGGGATATTATATGCCGTTCCTACTGGCTGCATCATCCGCATGCCTGCACTGCTAGGGATGCTTATCTTACGTCGCGTCAACCGCTAACTGCTTCTTCCCTTTTTGGCTGCTTCTGTAGAAACTAAGACGAGGACGAATATCGCAATCGAGCTGCGCGACTCACTAGAGCAGCTATGTTCCGGTCCCAGTTACGCCATCTTCCTGGCGAAGCTATGGCCGGTGTTCAAGAAGATACTCAAGGGAGAGCCGGTCTTTGTTAGTTTATCTTATGAACAGGTATGGGTTCTAATTCTCAATATCCCTCCCATACCACTTCCGCTGTTTTTTTTTTTCTTTTCTTGTTTCCGTCTGCTAAGATTCAAATTCCTTTCGCTTGACTGTTTTAGAAACTGCGCAACTGCGTCCTCGAAATCCTCCATCGACTCCCCTTAGACCTACCTGATGTCGAACCATATGCAGGTGATATGGTCGATCTCCTACTTGAGCTCGTTCGAATTGAGAATGAGGACAATGCGGTCCTTTGTATGAAAACAATCATGGATCTGGAACGACGGCAGGCCAAAGCTACACAAACGAGAGTCAAACCCTTCCTGGAACTTATACAGGAGATGTTTGAGACAATGGAACAGGTCGTTCGGGATACCTTCGATAGCCCAGTGTCAGGAGCGCAAGGCATGCCATCAACTCCTGGCGCGTCATCACAGAATTTTCAATCCCCACGGCCCAGCTCCCCAGCCACCTCAGTCTCTGATCTCGTCCCCGATCAACAATCGAACCAGCAGTTGTTGAGAGGCATGCAGTCGTTTAAAGTCCTGGCAGAGTGTCCGATCATTGTCGTGTCGATATTTCAAGCACATCGTAGTGTCGTTTCTACCAGCGTCAAGGTTTTCGTGCCACTAATTAAAGGCATTCTACTCCTACAGGCGAAACCGCAAGAAAAGGCACATGCGGAGGCTGCGGCTCAGGGGATGATTTTCACTGGCGTGTGCAAGGAGATCAAGAACAGAGCGGCCTTTGGCGAGTTTATCACTGCACAAGTGAAGACGATGAGCTTTCTCGCTTATCTGCTTCGGATGTATGCGAACCAGCTGCAGGATTTCCTTCCATCCCTTCCAGGTGTCGTTGTGCGACTTTTGCAGGATTGCCCGCGTGAGAAATCAAGTTCTCGAAAGGAGTTACTAGTTGCCATCCGTCATATCATCAATTTTAATTACCGCAAGATCTTCCTAGATAAGATTGATGAGCTCCTGGACGAGCGGACGTTGATTGGTGATGGTCTAACTGTTTATGAGGCGATGCGGCCACTGGCGTACAGCATGCTTGCTGACCTCATACATCATGTCCGCGAGTCTCTCAATCGCGATCAGATTCGTCGTACAGTGGAGGTTTATACGAAGAATCTTCACGACGAATTCCCCGGCACTAGTTTCCAGACCATGAGCGCCAAGTTGTTGTTGAATATGGCTGAGCGAATAGCGAAACTTCAAGATAAGCAGGATGCGAGATATTTCTTGGTGATGATATTAGATGCTATTGGAGATAAATTTGCGGCCATGAATCACCAATTTGATAACGCGGTCAAGCTGTCACGGGCATCGAAGCTACAGGCAGAGAACACGAAGGAATCTTACCTCGCGGAAAACGATAACCCACCGGACTGGGATGAAATCGATATCTTTTCCGCGGTCCCCGTAAAGACTTCAAATCCGCGAGAGCGCAATGCTGATCCCGTTGCAGATAATAAATTCCTTTTCAACAATCTCGTGAAGGGGCTGAAGAGTTTATTTTATACGCTGAAAGCAACTAATCCGGATAACATGAACATCGACGAAACCATTGTCCCCCCCAATTGGCCTGAGGTTTCTTTTGGTTACAAGGCGGAGGAGGTGCATGTGATCAAGAAGCTCTTCCATGAGGGGGCTAAAGTTTTCAAGTATTACGGAATTGATCAGCCCGAACCTGAGGTGCAATACACTTCTCCACTGGAATTCCTTGCTAGCCAGTATATGCAGCAGATGGGTAAAGAGGAGAAAGAGCTTCTAGAAACCTTTGGCACCATTTTCCATTGCATCGACACCGCCACGTTCCATGAGGTTTTCGATACTGAGATTCCATACCTTCATGAGCTTATGTTTCAGCACTCTTCGTTGTTGCATCTGCCACAGTTCTTCCTCGCAAGTGAAGCGACGTCTCCGGCCTTCGCGGGGATGGTACTGCAATACCTCATGGATCGAATTCATGAAGTGGGTACTTCGGATGTGTCCAAATCAAGGATTCTGCTGCGGATGTTTAAGCTGTCATTCATGGCAGTCACACTTTTCTCCTCACAGAACGAGCAGGTTTTGCACCCCCACCTCACCAAAATCGTTACCAAGTGTATAGAGCTCTCCGTTACCGCTGAGGAGCCGATGAACTATTTCCTCCTCCTCCGCTCGCTGTTCCGAAGTATAGGTGGAGGCAGATTTGAACTCCTTTACAAGGAAATCCTACCACTTCTTGAGATGCTTCTTGAAACCTTTAATAACCTTCTCCTGAGCGCCCGGAAACCACAAGAACGGGATCTTTACGTCGAACTCACTTTAACCGTCCCAGCCCGTCTTAGCCATCTACTTCCTCATCTTAGTCACCTAATGCGTCCCATTGTTGTTGCACTTCGGGCTAGCTCCGAACTCGTTGGTCAGGGTCTCCGCACTCTCGAGCTTTGTGTTGACAACTTGACTGCAGCGTATCTAGACCCCATAATGGCGCCGATCGTAGATGAACTGATGACGGCTCTTTGGGACCATCTTCGTCCAAACCCTTATAGCCATTTCCACGCACATACTACCATGCGAATCCTGGGAAAACTTGGTGGCCGCAATCGGAAATTCCTCAACCATCCGCCGGAATTGTCATTTCAGCAGTTTGCCGATGATATTCCTAGTATAGATATTAAACTTATCGGCGGCTCAAGCAAGGAGCGTGCTTTTCCGTTGGATATTGGGATCGATTTGGCACTTGGGAAGTTGCTTGAAGTACCCAGGACGCCGGCGGCGAAGGCCTCTGATGCTTATTACAAGCAGCAAGCGTACCATATGCTGAGTTCGCAGCTGAAGCTCTACATTGGTTTTGAT